GAGGTCAGCAGGGCAGCGCCCACCCGGCCTCAGGCACACAGCTGTGCTCACCGGGACAGGCAGAGGTCAGCAGGGCAGCGCCCACCCGGCCTCAGACACACAGCTGTGCTCACCGGGACAGGCAGAGGTCAGCATGGGCAGTGCCCGCTCGTCCTCGCTGTGCTGCTGGTAACGCCGTACAAACTCCTTCTGGCTCTCCAGGATGCTGAAGTCGGCAGCGATGGTGGTGTCGAACACGTAGTGCACCCCTGTAGGAAGAGGACAGAAAAAGGCACATTCAGGCTCTCGCCCCACCACACGGGGTCCACTCCTAGACCACACGCGGCAGCACTCCCAGTCAGTCCTCCTTCTCCTGTTTGAGACACAGTGAAGAAACACACTCCACAGGCATCTCTTCCGAGCTACTTAAGTCAGTCCCGGGTTTTTCTATTATCAAATGCTTAAACAGACTGTGTACTCAGCAATTCTTTATCTAAACAACAAACATGGTCGCTTTATGCCCATAAAACACCAAACCCATGGCCGTCGGTAACAACTCAAAGTGACCCTGTAAGACAGGACGGAACTGCCCCATGGGGTTTCCAAGGCTGTAATCTTTATGCAAGCAGACTGCCACATCTTTCTCCCGCAGAGCGGCTGGTAGGTTCGGACCACCAACCTTTCAGGTAGCAGCCGAGTGCTTAACATTGCGCCACCAGGGCTCGCTTTATACAGTAGGACACGTGTGCTCTCTCTTATGTTTCTTTGTTCTCTCTACAACTGTGTTTATCTAAATGGTTCGCAGTGCTCCACCTATAAATGAACGGGATATTAAGAGGTCCCAGCAGCAGTCTCTTCTAACTCACTGGCTAAATTAAATTTCAGTCTGTGATGAGCCTCGATAGCTTTAAAGTAAATAAAATGACTATAGTAGATCCGTTAAACAAACCTTTATGATGGTCTTAAGTTTTTTTAAACCAATCTTACTGATTACTTCCATAAAAAACAGCTGTGATAAAATACAGAAATACATTATTTGCCACTTCAACCGTTTTTATGTACAAAATTCGGCGACAGTGACACTCATCATGCTATGCGACCATTACCACTGTTTCGAAGTCTCCGTTGCCCGTCACACGCGCGCACTCACCGCCCCATAAGCAACACCGAGCCGTCTCCACGTAACACTAACCATGGTCTTCATTTTTATGTTGATTTCTAACTAGCTACCTTTTCTTGGTATTTATACTTTTCCTAATACTGGTAAATAAATCTGAGAGAAAGAAATGCACGTTTTCTCGATGTTTATAATGAAATCTATTACACAGATAATCCACAGCAAATCTAAATCTTAAAAGCAACCAATTATTTTTAAAAAAGAATATTGTAAATTTTAAAGTATTACCTCAAGAAACCACTTTCACTGTGGATATATTTTTTTTATCGCCAGAAACGTTCAGTTATATCTATTTTTAATAACCAGCCTCCCCCCTCCCAAAAAAAATAAGGGCCTTTCACCATGAAAAGATTGAGCATTTTACAGCTTTGGCCCTGGGTAGAGCGAAGCTGGCCCCATACTTTCTAGGGTAAACGTAAAGGGATGACCTAGCGCACCACATCAGAGGCTGCACTCAGGGTGCTGCTCCACGGCTGTGGCCCAAGGACTGCTCACGGCAGCAGGCGCATGGGGGGGGCGGCGTGGCTCTGGGCTAGCCCTGCAGACTCAGGGTCTGCTCTCATGAGGCATATTCTCAGGAGTCACTTTATCTTTGTTAACCTCAGTGTATTTAAGTCTCGGAAAAGCCGTTGTGAAATAACAATAATCCTTATTTCCCAAAAGCCTAAGTTTATCCTTTGCAGATCGCGCGTGATGAGGGCCAGGATGTGAGGATGCTCAAAGGCGTACAGACACCACTGTACACTGTCAGCTCAGCCATGCTAAGTCGAGGGGCACGGAAGGTAGCAGTTGTACAAAAGCAGAAAATACAGAAGTATGTTTACTAAGTTCTAGGCCTTACTATTTCGGCATTCACATCTGAGCTCCTGGCTCTATGGCTGAACCACCTTCCATTCTTCAGGTAAAGAGACACAACCCACTTCCTGACCATCCTGCTCTGCAAAGAGCTTCTTGGGAAACTAAACGCCGATCATGTCAGGACCTCCCCCACAAACCCGTTACACTGTCAGCCAGGCCACGGCCCCACAGTAACAAGCACCCACCTGCGTGCAATGAGGTGGAGTGGGAATCAGCCCCCACTGAGCCAGGCTGGGCACAGGACACAGAGCTGGGTCCTTTTACATGCCACAAGCCAGACTCTCGTGGACATTTCTTCTCCATCTTGTGCCCCTGAAATGTGAACTTGAGAGATAAAAGGGCAGGTATAAACTCTACCAATTCCTGAAACATCCAAAGTCAACTTACCCAGACTTTTGAGGAATCCACAGAGTCTTCTGGATGCATCAGTCACACTGAGGTTGAATTTAGCAGCAAAATAAGGCAAGGACTGAGGACACACAGACACTGCCAGCACTTTGTGCTTCGAGGTGTCGCATTTCTGCATGGAGGAGAAGAGAATAATGCCACACACGTGATGACAATGGAGAGTGAAAGCAAGACAGTCCTCCTTACCAAGACATCTGGACAAACAAAAACTAACAGGTGTTCCGTAAAAAGATGAATGAGAGAGACCAACACTGGCAGACACAATGAAGTAAAAAGAAGAACAAAAAATTCAGGATTAAAAAATGGGACTAAACTGCAGATACAAGAGACTTTGAGAGTTCTAAGAACAGCACAGTATCGATAAACCTGACTACCCAGAGAAAAAGATAAATCACCACGACGCTAACCCACGAATAACTGGGCTGACTCCAAACCATTAAAACACACTCGCATCCACACACACGGACAAAACACACACTCGGAAATAGAAAGGCTGAGGACTCACACGACACTCACGCATGCATCCTCGCTCACATTCGTGCTCACACATGTACTCCTCACTCACACACACGCAGTGACACACACCCCTCGCTCACACATCTCGTGCTCACATACCCCTCACACGACTCACATTCACACACCCCACGTTCACACACCCCACGTTCACACGCATTCACGCCCCATGCCATGTACACACCCCTCACTCACACACCCCTTGCTCACACACACACTCACGTACACCCCTCACTCGCCAGGTTCAGCAGAGGCTTCACTTACACCTCCACCCACCTCCATCCCGGCAGCTGCTCAGCTGTCAGGGGTGCCCCGATGCCATACCTTATTGAGGTTCAGAACGCGGAAGAAGTCCTTGGCATTCTGCTGGGAAACTCGGGCCCCTTCCTCTGCAGTCACACAGCTGTCACATGCCAGACAGTCGCTCAGAAATATTTTGGCATCAGCCAACTTATGGAACTCTCCCTTCTACAAAAGAAGAACAATGTTTTGCCCTGGTTCTTCAGCAACCACTCTTTTAAACTGGCTTCTTCACAAAGATTAACAAACAACCACAATACAGAAAACTGACAGCAAACTCCTGAGACAACAACGGTGCTCCAGGCGCTGGGAGGGGACAGTCTCTCCTCCAAGCCGCTCTCAGTCTGCCTGCAGGAGCAGGACCGGGACCCGTCCACAGTGACACCAGGGAGCGCCTGGCTGGGCCGTCAGTCCTGCATAATCAAGGGTGGCCAGTGGCCCCAGCACCATCACTGGGCAAGAAGAGAACCCCATTCCTGGGACGGCCAGCCCAAGCTGACCTGACCGGCCCTCCCTCCTCCCTGGAAGCCTGCAGACCTGGCCTCTGGCTTCCCTCTCCCTCACGGCCACTCTGCACCTTGGAGGTGTCCTGCTCGCACCTCCCACCCCTTGCTCTCCCTCCACCTCTGCACTCCCTGGGTGTGTTCATCCCGTCCCAGGCTCCCCATGTGCGCCCGCAACCCTGGCCTGTCCCGGAAGCTCAGAACGCACATGGCTCACGGCCAGCTCCGGATGTACCAGGGGGCCTCACGCTGCCCAAGAGCTGTGGATGCTCCAACCACTCTGCCCCGCCTCCAATGCTGGTAAAGAGTGATTCCACTCACCTCCTGGCAATCAGTCTCTGCATCAATCTTTGGCCCCTGACTGGCACACCTTTTCCACTCCTGCCCCTTCCTTGGTCCCCCGACTCCCCACACACGGTCATCCTCCTGACCAGCACACTCTCCCCGCGTGGGGCCAAAGGTCTGCAGGCCCAAAAGTCTAGAGCATACAGCTTGGCACGCAGAGAAAGACTTACTTAATAAATGTTTGTGAGGCTGAACTGAGCATACCGCCTTCACTGAGGTACCAGAACCATCCCCACAGAGGGGCTCGTGCCAGATCCACACCCAAGCTCAGCAGCACCTCCCTCCGACCTTGCCACCTGTCCCTCCGAGTTTCCACGGTCAAAGTCTGGCTCCCGCCCCCTCATGTGCCTTCCTCTTCCTCCTCCTGTCTTGTGAGCGCGAGCATCCTGCGGAACGTGAATTCTGCACCAGTGCTGTCTCAGGCGTTTGGTGTCAGCCCCCCTCTCTTCACACAGGCCCATCAGCCTCAGCATTCCCAGAGCAGCGCCTGCCAGCCCACCCATGAACACCTCCCGAGTCTCCGTCTCCAGGGACCCGCTCACCCACGCTGCAGACTGACCTCCTGTGGAAACCTGTGGTCCGTGGGTCGGAGAATCATCTCCCTGTAGACACCCGCTTTCTCCTCCCACCACCCAGCTCCTCCTTTGTGCCTCATCCCCTGGGCTCTTGAAGCTGCCTCCCAATGGTCTCCTCGGAGTTGCATAAAGCAGCTGCCCCTGTCATCCACCTAACCCATGCCTGCCTTTCCCCTTGCCCAGACCACTCCCGTCCACGTCGGCCCGTGCTGAGCATGTCGCACCCTGAACTCTCGCCTGACTCCTCTCCAAGCACTGTCCCCACTCACTGAGCTGATGAAGCAGCGTCCCCACTCACTGAGCTGATGAAGCAGCGTCCCCACACACTGAGCTGAT